ACACTGCACAAACATATGGTTCATGGGCAGAGATAAGATAATGTTTAGGGAGATGGTTCGGCTTATTTTGGGAGACAACCGAGCTCCTTGTTCTCAGGGCAGCGGGGAAGGACGTTCTCAGCCATAATAATAAAAGCATCAATAAACATTTAACCAAATATTCCCTGACAAAGATGGGTTTTGAGTTCAGAAGAGAGGTGTTATGAGTGAAAGGATGTGGGAATTAAAGAATTACTGTAAAAAAAAAAGACTAAGTTCAACCAACATCAGGTAAAAATTACAAGATAAGATTGTCAAACTCTATCTAGCAAAAAAAAAAAAATGTTGATTGATTAAAACCCAACAAGAACATTGACTGGTGGAAAACAGATAATTTCCAACACTGGTCCTGAATTGCATTTAGTTTTGCTTTCTGCTGCTGAATGACCTTTGGCTCTTTGTTCATGATTGTTGAGCTCTGTTCTCTCATGGCCTAAACAGTACAGACACTCTTGCACACACGCTGACCTCACTGCTTATGCTTCTCAGTGCTCATACCAGAATTAGTCTGCAAGAGTCCAGTTACCGTCTGTGTGTCTGCATGTGTGCATGTTCTCGTTGTCTTAGTGTCCAAAGTTTCATACCTCAGAATAATGAAAATGCAAACACAATGATATTTTTTTGTTTTTTTAAATTGCTCTCACTCTCACCGATGAACAAATCAATGTGTTTGTACGTGTGTGTTTGTGTGTGGGCTTGTGTTAAACAGGCCCTAACAGAGGCTTCACATTTGATCTTGATTACACACTGTATTATTTCCAGATTTGCAGAGTGAGTTATGAAATAATTCAGCTTAAGTCCATTTGCTGATGTGCGTGTCTCAATGTTATCTTCATATGAAACGATCACAATATGTCTCTTTGGCATTCAAACTTTACAAATATGGTGTGGAGATGTTGTTTTTGTCTGTATGAACTTTGCAAATCATTTTCATATTTGAGGGTGGCCTAGTGTTAACCCTATATGTAAGGGAGGAAACAATAAAACCCTACGCTCCAAATGGGTACTTTAGGGAATTTAGTGTTAACTGATCTTTCTTTGTCAGTTGATCATTGATTATTAGTTGATTGTTAGAAATAAATATCCAAAAATCATTTTCAAAAAAGTTAAGAAATCAGAATAACTTTAACAGTGTAATCAACTCCATCATAAACTCAACAATGGCTATCTTGTGCCATTTAAAAATCTAACCGTAAAATTGTGGGTTCATTTACTACAGTTTACCAAAACAAGGCTGTTTTTTTAATGGTGAAGTTTATAGCTTTTTGAGAACCCTTTTCCATCTTGTTTTAAACGTCATCCTTCTGCAGCGCACATGATGTTTATGAGCTGGTAAAATCTGGAGCGTACATGGCAATGGGTTTTAAGGTTCATCAGATTGCCAAACTTGTTGCACTGTTTCTTAAACAAGGTAGAAAAACAAACAAAATCACACATTTATTCTAAAAAAAAGTGCTAAGCTAAAGTATTTACTGGGATGAAGTGTAGAATATCAAATTCACTACTAGTCACTTCTTATTCTTTCAACTTTTCCCTCTTCAGGGATCTCCACAGCGAGTCATCCTTCTCCATCTCACTCTGTACTCTTCATTCCCTGTCCTCGCTCCAGCTACCTCCATGTCCTCTCTAACTGCATCCATATATCTCCTCTTTGGCCCTTCTCTTTGTCTTTTTCCTGGCAGCTGCATTTTTAACACCCTTCTACTGATATACCAACTGCCCCTCCTCTGGATATGTCCAAACCATCTTAGTCTGGCCCCCCCTAACTTTATCTCCCAGTTATTCAACCTGTCCTGTACCTCTGACCAAGTTCAAGTTTCTTGTCATTTGCATCACATGTGGTACATGAGGTGGAATGAAATTGTGTACACAGGGTCCCAGTTACACCCAAAAATAGCAAAAATATAAAGTGTAAAAAGAAACCATATATAAGGATCTAAGCCATACACTAAGATATATGCTAAACAAATGCTGAACGATACACTAAAAGATCTAAGCTATGCGCTAATGTGAAATAGGGGGCCGAGATGGTGTAGAGGCAGGGCAGCCTACTCTGGACCCGAAAGTCCTAGGTTCGATTCCCAGTCATTGCACATCTCGTGGTGCCTCTGAGCAGCACACCTTATCCCCAAAAAAATGCTCCCCAGGCACTTTCAATAGCTGCCCACTGCACCACCTGGTGGTGGATGGGTTAAATGCAGAGATCCAATTGCCATTGTATGGGAACATACAATGATGACAATACATAACACATTGTTATTATTGTTATTATTATTATTATTATTATTATTATTATTATTATGCGGTATTTTAAACAGCAGCTCGAACATTAGTCTATAGTGAGTACATGGGTGTGAAAGAATACAGCAGTATGATATAGTCTGCAGCATGAGATAATCCCATGAACTCATGATCTCATAATCTGATCATCTCATTCCTAATCTTATCCATCCTTGTCACTCCTAGAGAGAAGAGCAACATCTTCATTTCTGCAACTTCTAGTTCTTTCTCCTGTCTTTCTGTCAATGCCACTGTCTCCAGACTATACAACATAGTTGTTCTCACTATTCTGATGTAAACTTTTCCTTTGACCATTACTGACAACCTTTTGTGGCAAATCACTCCTGAAACTTTTCTCCATCCACTCCATTCTACCTGGACTCTCTTTTTCACCTCTTTACCACATTCCCCATTTTCCTGGACAGTTGACCCCAAGTACTTGAAGACCTTTGTGACCTCTGCTCCTTGTAGCCTCACTGTTCCACCGGCCTCCTCTCATTCACACTCATGTACTCTGTCTTACTACGGCGGACTTTCATTCCTCTTCTTTCAAGTGCATACCTCCACCTCTCCAAGTTCTCTTCCACCTCTACTCACCACAGATCACAATGTCATCTGCAAACATCATAGTCCAAGGGGATTCCTGCCTGACCTCATCTGTTAGTCGGTCCATCACCAGAGCAAACAAGAAGGGGCTCAGAGTTGATCCTTGATGCAATCCCACCTCCACCTTGAAGCTATTTGTAACTCCTACAGCACATCTCACCACTGTCCTGCTGTCCTCATACATGTCCTGTACCAGTCTAACATACTTGTATGCCACTCCAGATTTTCTCATGCAATACAACACCTCTTCCCTCAGCACCCTGTCATATGCTTTTTCTAAATCCACAAAGACACAATGGAGTTCTTTCTGACCCTCTCCATACTTCTCCATCAGCATCAGCCAAGACGGCATCTGTGGTGTTCTTTCTCGGCATGAAACCATACTGCTGCTCTCAAATTGTTATTTCTCGAATAAGTCTAGCTTCCACAACTCTCTCCCAGATCTTCATCATGTGACTCATCAACTTAATTCTCCTGTAGTTGCTACAACTCTGTACATCACCCTTGTTCTTACAAATGGGCACCAGCACACTTCTCCTCCATTCCTCAGACATTTTCTCTCCCTCAAATATGCCCTTGAGTATTTGAGTCAGAAACCTCACCGCCATCTCTCCTAGGCATTTCCAAACCTCCACTAGTGTGCCATCACGTCCTGCCGTCTTTCCCTTTATAATTATTTTCAGAGCTTTCTGAACGTCACCCTCACTAATCTTTCCACTTTCTGGTCCACAGCTTCTATGACCTCTACACTTATTTCTCTTTTATTCTCTTTATTCATTAGCTCATCAAAATATTTCTTCCATCTTCTGGTCACAGTCTCTTCACTTGTTAGAACATTACCATTTATACCTTTATTTAATAAGCCTAACTTGCTGCACATCCTTTCCAGTCTGATCCCTCTGTCTCACCAATCGGTAAAAGTCCTTCTTACCCTCTTTAACGTCCAGCCTCCCATACAACTCATCATATGCCTTCTGCTTTTTCTTTGCTACCTCCCTCTTCGCTCTGCATTGCATCTCCTTATATTCTTGTCTACTCTCTTCAGTCCTCTCACTGTCATATTTCTTCTTGATTAACCTCTTCCTGAGGAAGAGCACTGTTCTCTCCAGTGATTACTGGTGGTGTGTTCTGCTTAGACTAATAGCTTCCTGCACTTTACTATTTCACCTCTAGGTTTTCTTATTCTTGTGCATCCTAGAAATGTGACACAATATTTAATCCATTATATATTTACACAAATATGACTCTGTCCGCATATAACATGTTTATCTACTGCATTGTCTACTATTGTCAACTGCATTGAGAAGAACAGCTTCAGCATCTGGTTTGGAATATGTGTCAACAATATTAGCAGCCACTTCTGATTTAAGGCATGTTTACTTGCTAAACACAAAGACAAGAAAATGTTTGAACTGCAAATTGATTTTGAAAAGCTACTAAAGAGGAAAATTTGTACGAGATGAAAATGCCATCTCTTCCAAACCAAGTCTAATCAGTGATTTCAGCTTTGCTTGGTCTCTCAAAATTTACTTTCATGCAACACCCCCCCCCCCCCAAAAAAAAAAAAACATGATTAATTAGAGCTATTCAGAGAATAGGCTTCTCAACAGCCTTTGCAAAATCTTGTTTATTGTGTAAATGGTTTTCATATCAATGTTAACATTTTTTTTTGTACATTTACTGAGGCAAACATTTTAAAAGAAAATCTTGTCTGAATGAGCCTAAACTTTCTACCCTCTATGCAATTCTAATTTCAGTTTTAAGCATAAACCCTTTTTTTTTTCTTCAAATATGGCAGTCATCTGCAGTTGAATTGCTCATCTGAGCAGCACATTTAGTCTTTCTTAGTCAGTGGCACATCTTTATTAAGAAATTATTTCAGGAATTTTCCATATCCATGATTATGAAAGATTTTAGTTTTAACAAAATTTGCAGCAATGGACGGTATTTGGGGGTATTTGTTAATCAAAATAATGTGTTGAAGACATTCAATGATAGCATGAGAATCTGTTTCGACACACTGGGATTTGTTCCGTCATCCTAATTTCTCTCATTCCTCTTAACAACTGCTACAGGCCTCATGCCCCCAAGGAGTGCCAACGTCAGGTGCAGCCACCAGAGCTGCTGATGACAGCTTGTTCCAGATACTGCAAGAATGGACTTTGTACTCCTACTGGGAAATGTTGCTGTAGCCCAGGCTGGGAGGGACCCTTCTGCCGAATAGGTAAGTATCACGAACAGTATGACTTGGAATCAAATATTTGAGTTATATCTCTCCAAACATGTGTAACACACACCTTGAAACTGCCAGAATGCTTCCTATCAAACATCATAAACCAGTTTTTCTGCTATATTTTACCAGTTTGTGTTTGATCACTCTGTTTTCCTGTCACCATAGCCAAATGTGAACCAGCCTGCCGCAACGGAGGAGTGTGTTTGGAGCCAAACAAGTGCTTGTGCAAGAATGGCTACTCCGGGTCTCAGTGTGAGAAGAGTGAACAGGGCATGCCCAACGACCAGGAGAAAGATGGGATACTAGACCACATCATCGATATGACCACTTATCTCTTAGACCTGACCAGCTACATTGTATAGGTGTGCGCTAAGGAGGACTGCTCCCCACCGTCAACCTCACATTGACACAAATCTACCTATCACCACCAGCAGACCCTTACCAAGGTGTTATCCATGTGGCCATTTAATGTCCCTCACATAAACATAAACATACAGACACACATGAACATAGAAATACAAACAAGATCCCCATCGGACTGCTTTGGATCTTTGCACACGCACGCACGCACACACACACACACACACACACACACACACACAAAACACAAGAATCTCCATCCATTCACCTATAAGCTATTTGCTCTTGAGCACCAGGACTGTCGTCCGAGCCATGTTCACATTTCAAAGTGGCCTACAGACAGCAGGGAGTTGACAAACAGCCTTGATCATTTTGGTAGAAATTTCACTGAGACATTTCCTCACACAGATGGCTTCAACAGGAACTTCACAGAAAATGACTCAAGATTTTTGGACTTTCATAAAGCTACTTGTTGCCTTTTGGAAGACCCCCAAAAATTGTGTAAGGCATTTAAATGAAGATTGTTCTGAATTCCTATAGGGATATAAAACTTTAAATGCCTGGCATGGCTCAAGAACTATTTTACGTTCTTTGTCTGATAAAGACATATTGAAATAAATGTATGCTCACAAAGGCAACGAAGGAACACGGGTCATAGGTCACATTGAGCCTGCACTATTTTTTTGTAGTGTTGTCTGCAGGCACGAAAAGAAACATGCTGTCTCTTATATGATGTACTTATTTTGTGGGCATATTGTCATAAGAACTAAATCAGTATGAAGTCTGCATATCTTTTTATTGGTGTTGACATTGGATCGCAGTCAACAGAAGTCTGTTAGGTATACAAAAGTGGGAATGAGAGCATTGTTGAAGCCAGTTTCATGTATTCTTAATGGAGTTTTTGGCTTTCATGCACTGTATTAACTTTATTTTTCAAAAGTTATTTTAACATGTATTAAAAGCAGAATGTGAGTGATTTAACACTCACACATTTAGTACACACCACATTATCACAGGTATGCTTCAACAAACTCCTTTTATTCTGTCACACACACTGAAAGTAAACCTTAAACACAAACAAAGGGAAGACAGAGCGCAGTGATGTACATTTGCAATAGAGCCTAACTAAATACTACTTAGCATAAAAAATATATCTAGCATTATCATAGAGGAGGGTTTATTTTTTTCAAGCTTAATAATATATGGGAGAATATGGTGTTTGTATAGAAGGCAGTTTTACTCTAAGCTTGTCTGGTCATGTCATTTCATGTTACAAAACCAACCTTGTTGGTCGCCCTACTCTTCCACTTGGGCGGTTCCACTTCACTTGAAACTCGGGTCCTCTACCAGAGGCCTGGGAGTTTGAGGGTTCTGTGCAGTGTCTTAGCTGTTCCTAGGACTGTGCTCTTCTGGACCGAGATTTCTGAGGTTGTTCCTGCGGTCTGTTGGAGCCATTCTTCCAGTTTTGGGGTCACAGCACCAAGTGCTCCAATGACCATTGGGACTTCGACTCTATGACATTTTGATTCTGCACAACTTCTGCATTTCCTCTTTTAGCCCTTGGTATTGTTTGAGTTTCTTGTGCTTCTTCTTCCTGTTGTTACAGTCACTTGGGATTACAAATTCTATCGCCAATGTCTTTTTGTCTGGCTTGTTGACCACCACAATGTTTGGTTGGTTAGCCATCACCTGTTTGTTGGTCTGGATCTGGAAGTTGAACAGCATTTTAGCCCTTCCATTCTGGGGCGGCTGTGGCTGCGTGGTTAGAGCAGTCGTCCTCCAATGCAAGAGTTGGGGGTTCGAACCCCACAGCAGTCACATGCTGAAGTGTCCCTGGGCAAGACACTGAACCCCTCATTGCCTCCGATGTGTGTCCCATCAGTGTATGAATGTGATAAATCACCGATTAGTCTCTTTAGAATGATTTGTTCAATTAGCTTTGTAGAGATCTAGTAGAGTGCTGTATGAATGGGTAAATGAGGACACAGATTGTAGTGTAAAGCGCTTTGAGTATCTCAATAAGATAGAAAGGTGCTATATAAGTACAGTCCATTTACCATTTACCATTCTCCACCATCCTTGGTGGCGTCTCCCACTTGGACTTTGGGACCCTTAGTCCATACTCAGCACAGATGTTCCTGTATTATTATTCCAGCCACTTATGGTGTTCCATGTATACTTTGCCTGCCTGGCTATACACTCTGATATTATGTGTTGGACTGTCTCAGGGGCATCTTTGCACAGCCTGCATCTTTGGTCTAGTCTGGTATGGTAAGACGCCATCATCTATTGCTCTTTTGCTGAGGGCCTGTATTTGTGTTGCCATGATTTGTGCATCTGTGTTGTCCTCAGTCCAGCCCTCTCTAGCCACTGGTAGGATCTGTTGATAACAGCCACTTCCTCAATCTGTTGTTGATGCATGCCATGCAGGGGCTTATCTTTTTATAATATCATGTCTTGTTCTGCCTCTTCCTCATTAGGTTACTGCTGCTGCCTGAGACATTCATTCATCAGTTCATCATCGGGGGCTTTCATCCTGATGTACTCCAGGATCTTAGTTGTTTCATCCTATATAGTGACTTGGACGTTCACTAGTCCTATGCCTCCCTCCTTTCTCTTAAGCCATTTTGCCATTGATAAGTGCGACTCCACTCTGCTCGTGTCTTTTCAGTTCTTCTCAGGTGTAGATGATTTGTCACTGTGAATTCTTTCCCTGCTCTGTGGGTGAGATCGGCAATGCAAAGTGAGCGGTATCATAACAGGTCATTGTGTTTGAGCCACTCCTCCTATTGTGGTCCTTAATCGCCCTATAATCAGACTTTCTTTAGCTTATCTGCTGGCTGCTTATAGGTCTGGGTGTACCCATACTGTGCCATAATCTCCTATATCTTTCTGTAAATGTGCTCATTTCTTGTGGCGCCATCCATCAACATGATGAGGAAGTGACGGTTTAGATGTAGTTTGCAGTTTTGTTGGGCGGGTCCAGTGACGTAACTCTGCTGGCCAATCAATGGCTGCTGTCTGCTTACGTCAAAATCGGCACCTCTGAGCTGTCTGCTTGGAACCATGAACAAAGTGATCCCATAGTCCAGGATGAGTGGGTGCCAGTAGTGGACAGGCCCTTATCTTGTGTGTTGTGGTGCGGAACCAGAGTTGAGACAGTGGCAAAGTGCTATTAGTGTGTAGTCAGGCTGGACTTGGGGTAAAACCCTCATTCCATTGTGAGGAGCTTTCAAGTCTTGATGTGAGTGGCTTCTATTTCCTCCTTTGGCCAGGCTATTATACCAGCTGGCTATCTGATGACTGGCACTGCATACATGTTAATGGCTCAGATTTTGTTCTTGCCATTCAACTGGCTCTACGGGACCTGCTTTACTCACTGTAGGTACTTGGTTGTGGCTGACTGTCTTGCAGCCTTATCATTATTGTCATATGCCTGTGAGATTCCAAGGTATTTGCAGCTGTCCTGTACATCTGCAATGTTGCCTTCAGGTAGTTCAGCCTTTTCAGTTGTGATCACCTTGCCTCTCTTGCACACCATTCGACTGAATTTATCCATTCCGAATATCATTCCAATGTCCTCTCTGTATATCCTGGTGAGGTGGATCAGTGAGTCAATGTCTCTGTCAGTTTTGGCATACAGCTTGATGTCATCCATGTAGAGGAGGGGCCATGTTTGTTCCATTTTGTAACCGGTATCCATAGCCATTCTTTGCAATGATCTGGTTGAGGGGATTCAGACCTATGCAGAACAGGAGACAGTGCATCACCTTGGTATATGCCACATTTGATGCTGACATGTGCAAGTGGCTTTGAATTGGCCATCTTCCACACTCCCATTGAGTTCTTGATGAATGCTCTTAGTGTCCTGTTGATGTTGTGTAGTTTCAAGCATACACACACACACACACACACACTATATACAG